TTATATGAGCTTGCATATATGACTAGTCAATCTAACATGAGATCATACTGCAGTAGGTCATACTAGTGTCATATGATTATTCCAGGTGACTGCTATTCTTAAAAGAAGAGAAGAAGTGTAGAGAAAGAGAGACACAGAAGCAACATGGCCACGTGAAGGAGGCAGACACTGGAGCCAAGCTGTTGTAACCAAGGAATGCATGTGTCTCCAGAAACAGGGAAAGACCAAGAAGGATCTTTTCCTAGAGACTTCAGAGACAGCATGGCCTGGCTTTAGACACCCTGAATTTAGATTTCTAACATCCAGAAATGTAGACAATGAATTTATCTTCTAAATTGCCACATTTATGTTACAGATGACCCTTAATTAGGAGTTAGGGGTGCTGACTCTTTGTGCAGTTGAAAATCTATGTATAACTTTTGACTCTTCCTACAGTAACTACTCCATTACAACAAGATGGCGGATCTGGAAGACATGAAGTGAGGAGCTCCATCAGCAACAACACAGACCAAGCAGGCTCAGGGGATGGTCCTAGAAATCTGAACCACATATAAAGGAATATTTAGAAGCTTGGAAGGCTTACAGCTGGGGGAATTTGTAGCAGAATCAAAAAATCCATTGCTTTCTAATTCAAGATGCTCAGCTGGTGCTGGAGCCGCCATCTTGGGAGAGACTAAGCGGGGAAAGGATCAGGCAGCCAGGAATGCCTAACAGAACAATGGAGATACAGGTGTGGACATTCTTTTTTTTTGGTATCTGTTCATTCTTGTTGTATGCGCAGCTCCATTCTGGTGACTAGAGGGGATGCTTGAGTGAATGGACACCCCATCCCCACCCCTGGAGGGTTCTACTACGCATGCGAACAGGTCTCCTCGAAATTTACAGTGACGGTTTCCACTTAAAACCAAACGGCCACCACTCATCTGTCAGATTGTCGTACTGTGGTGGCTTGTGAATTGCTATGATTCTGAAAGCTATACCACCGGTATTTGAAATACAAGCAGGGTCACCAATGGTGGACAGGTTTCAGATGAGTTTCCAGACAAAGACAGACTAGGAAGAAAGAGTGACAAACTACTTCTGAATCTTTAGTTACTGAAAACCTTATGAATAGTAGAGAAACATTGTCAGATAATAGTGCTGGAAAATAAGCCCCACAGGTTGGAAGGCACTCAAAATGCGACTGGGGAAGAGTTGCCTTCTCAATGTACAGTTGACCATGATGATACGAAAGGAGTAAAGCCTGTGAGAGAAAAGCCCACAGAACCTTCATTTGCTGATGGGGCACAACTCAAAATGAAGAGAAAGAGCTTTAAACATCCATTGAAAATCGGAACATGGAATGTACGAAGTATGAATCTAGGAAAATTGGAAATTGTTAAAAATGAAATGGAATGCATAAACATCAAAATCTTAGGCAATAGTGAGCTGAAATGGACTGGTATTTGCCATTTTGAATCTGACAACCACATGGTTTACTATGGTGGGAATGACAAATTGAAGAAGAATGGTGTTGCATTCATTGTGAAAAAGAACATATCCAGATCAGTCATGTGGTACAATGCCATCTGTGATATGATAATATCAATGTGCTTACAGGAAAACCCAGTTAATACCATTATTATCCAATTTACACACCAACCACTAAAGCCAATGAGTATGAAATAGAAGAATTCTACCAAATTCTTCAATCTGAAATCGATCAAACATGCAATCAAGGTGTATTCATTATTACTGGTGATTGGAACGCAAAGGTTGGGAGAAAAGACAAAGGATCAGTAGTTGGAAAATTTGGACTTGGTGATAGAAATGATGCTGGAGAACGCATGATAGAATTCTGCAAAACCAATGATCTGTTCATTTCAAGTAACTTCTTTAGACAGCATAAAAGATGACTACACACATGGGTCTCACCAGATGGAATAGACAGAAATCAAATTGACTACATCTGTGGAAAGAGATGATGGAAAAGCTCCATATCATCAGTCAAAACAAGGCCAGGGGCAGACTGTGGAACAGACCATCAATTACTCATATGCAAATTCAAACTGAA